TACTGGCGCTCTGGGCTTATTCCTGACTCTGCCTGATCACTCCTGAGTGGGCACCAGGGACCATATCGGGTGCCAGGTTGATCATGTGCAAGGCATGTGCCCTAGTCACTGTAATATCTCTCTGTGCTATCATGGGATGATTCTACCCTAACAATTATACTACCATGTATATACATTATTTTCATGAAATTCAAATGAGAATTTTCATGAAATTCAAATGAAGAATACTCTTCTATCCATACATCCCACTCATGCACAAATGGCACATTTGAAGAACACCTGTCGTGTTGCAGGTTTTATTCTTGCAGCATTAATTTTAAAATAATATACAGGATCCACATAATGACAGCTCCTAGAAAAACAAATAAACCCTTGGTGACAATGCAGAAGGGAAACTGAAGTTGTATTGGGACAGGAAGAGCTTCCTGTAAGAAATAAACACTAAACTGATTTTGTGAAGCCCAAGGCTAGTGAGTCAGGAGAAAAAAAGAGTACCATGGGGTTGGAGAGAGAGCACAGCGGGTAGGGCATTTGCCTTGCATGTGGCCGACCCGGTTTAGATTCCCAGCATCCCATATGGTTCCCCAAGTACTGCCAGGAGTAATTCCTGAGTGCATGAGCCAGGAGTAACCCCTGTGCTTCGCCGGGTGTGACCCAAAAAGCAAAAAAGAAAAAAAAAAGGGTACCGCTTCAATCTCGTGGCCTTACACATGCATCGGATGTCCCATATTAAAAAGCAATATAGGGATCTGAGCAATAGTACAGTGCACTGGTAGGGCATTAGTATCCCATATGGTCCCCTGAGCATCGTCAGGAATAATTCCTGAGTGTAGAGACAGGAGTAACCCCTGAGTAATTCTCAGGTAGGGTGCAGCCCAAAAATAAACAAAAAAGCCATACGAATGCATCAGTCTCATGATGATAAACCAGAACACAAATGTATCCCAATGGAAAGGACTTAATGAACCTCCTTCAGGAAAACCCTACAGAAAAAAATATATATGTTTCTACTTTAAAAACACTTAATATTTCTTCAGCTGTAGAAACTAAGGAAAGGATGAAGGCCAGAGGGATAGTATGAGTTTACGACACTTGCCTCGAAGGTAGCTGACCCCAGTTTGATCCCCAGTACCACACACAGTCTCCAGAGCACCACTAAGAGTGATCCCTGAGCAACAGAGCCAGGAATAGATCCAAAGCATCTCAGGGTATGCCTTTTCTCAAATGTTCAGTATCTATAAATATGTCCTAAAAAGATGTGAAATGTAATTATCCTTTTCCTCTCTGCTCTTCAGGTTTTTGGAAATGAAGGAAAATGCTCAAGTCTAAATTTCAAGAGGAAGTTTAGTAATCACACAGAAGTCTCTTTTAATGGGTTGACATTTAAGACTTTTTATACAATACTGGATGTTTGAGATTAAAAACATGGACTAAGCTATGTAACACATTACTTGATCACAGCAGCCTCTAAAAATGCTGGGAATCACAGGCTTTCGACTACAGAAACCTCATTTCTTGCTGTTGGAACAATGTCAGCACTTATTCCCTACCATGTGATACTTGTGATTTATAAGAAATACTAGGAAATGACTGAAACGGATTCCTCATCTACGAGGCCGCTGGCCACACTTTTGACTCACAGGTCTCCAAAGCCTCAGACACTCCTAAGTGTGAAGAATGGTAGTGGTAGTCTTCAGTTACGTGACTTGGAAGATACCTGAGGAAGGGGGCTAGCAGCAAAGCTCAACTGCCAATGGCTAGTGCCACAGCTACAACCGATCATGCCTTTGTGATCAAACTCCAGAAACTCCGAATAAAGGGTTTCTTAAGCTTCTATGTTGGGGAACCAGAAAGATTCCACTGCTGTCCTATGCCTCATTCCTCAAGCTCAACAGGACGGAAGCATCTTTGTTTAGAATACTGCCCTGTGTATGTACTCATTTGGCTGCTGATTTGTATCTTCTACCATGCTCTGTAATTAATGGATGAACTACTGAGTAGGCAGATTTCCTCAGTCTGTGGGTGATTCTCTCAAACTCGTAGAAGCTGACCAGGGAGCTGGGGAAAGCTCTGGTGGAACAGAAGCGCAGGCAGTTCTGACTTACAACTGGTACCTGAAGGAGGGGGTTGTCTTGGAGGAAGACTGAAGCAGGCATGTGGAATCTGCTGCTCTCTCTAGGTAAGTAATGTGAGTCAGCAGCTGACAAAGAAGGGATGTTTGCTGGTGTGGTGGCGAAACCTTCCCACATGATCACCCTGGAGTTGGATTTTAAAACCCTGTTCACACCCCAATGGCATTCCATTTCCTCTGATAACCACTCCTAGAAAGTTGTCTTGAACATGAGTTTGATCCCACAATAAGGCCCCCCAAAAGCAGGATAAAGTGAAACTGGCATATTGACTGGAAGAGGGAAAGTGTTCCAAAATTATTTTTAAAGTCATATTAAAAATGTGGGACAGGGAAATTAATCTGAACCCAAATTATTTACAATGATTTCCTCACAAGGAAACTCTTTTAATATAAATTCAGGAAGTGCTGGAAAATCTCATAGCACTGTGTTGCATTGTCATCCCATTGTTCACTGATTCGCTCAAGCAGGCACCAATAACGTCTCCACTGTGAGACTTATTGTCCCTGTTTTTGGCACATCAAATACGCCACAGGGAGCTTGCCAGGCTCTGCCGTGTGGGTGGGATACTCTTGGTAGCTTGCCGGGCTCTCTGAGAGGGATGGAGGAATCGAACCCGGGTCAGCGGCGTGCAAGGCAAACGCGCCCTACCCACTGGGCTATTGCTCCAGCCCGGAAATTTTCATACGCACATTTTTTGTTATCACATGAATTAAGACTCTATAAAAGATTTAGACAAAATAAATAAACATGGGTAAAAGATCTACTTCCAAGAATTTGGGGGACCTACTTAGGGTCTTTCTGGATCAAGGCTCTGCAACAAATGCAGTAAATTCTCATTTAAAGTCATGGCTAGATTCTTGGAACCTGAAATTTTAAGCAGTAATAATTTTCTTTTCTTCATCAACCTTATAATGAAATGATATTGTTTAGTAATTGAGCTTGTTCCAGGACTTTCAATAATTCTCAGAGACACTGCCACCCCCCATCTTTGGTCTTCTCTCTAACCTGGCAACCTCACACACACCTATGTGTCATATCAAGTTTTGACTTCTGGTTCCCTTCCTCTGCATTCTCTTTTTTGTTGTTGATTTTGGTTGGGTTGAGAAGCAGGGGGGCTACACCCAGTGGTGCTCAGGGGCTACTCCTTACTCTGTGCTCAGGGGTCTCTCCTGGTGGTGCTTAGGGGACCAAATGCATGGCAGGGAACCAATCAGTGTTGGCCACATCAAGGCAAATGTCTTCACCCCTGTTCTCTCTCCGGCTCCCACTGTATTCTTTTTAACATGCTACAAGACAGCCATGGGATAGGCATAATGAGCACTAAAGTTCCAAGTAAACTAGGGTTAGCACTTCCATCAATCTAGACAGAATCTGCTTAACCAAAACTCCCATGACATTAGAGAAAAAAAAAACACAGTTGGGGTCTGGGTAAGTGGCTCAAGAGTAGGGTACCTGCCAGTCCCTGACACTGGCCCAAACCATCAACTGCGATCCGAGGGCACTGATGTATGATTCCTGGTGCTGATGCAAGAGTGTGACTCCCAGACAGCTCAAAAAACCAAGTGTGTTATCTTTGCACCAATTATGCAACCTGAAACATAGCAACAACAACAGAAGAAAGGGAAAGAAAAAGGCGGTACCCCCAAACATCTTATGAACGCTAAGCTTTGCTGTCCCCTCCCTGTCTCATTGCTTATCTAGCGCCACACAAGCACAAAGGCATGTCTATCAACACTTCAATAGCCACATCTACATACATTTAACAATAAAAACCTCCACAGAGAGAGACTGTAATAGGTAATGTGCTTGTTTTGCTCACAGCAGGCCCTGGTTTGGTCCTTGGCACCTCATATGGTTCCCTGAGCCACACCAGGACTGATCCCTGAGCACACAGCTGGGTGTAAACATTGAGCTCTGTTGGGTTTTTCTAACCTCTTTTTTCCACCAAAAAAAAAATTAAAAAAAAAAATCTCATATAGGAAATGTGTCCATTCATTGGACATTAGGATAAATGTTCCACACAAAAGGTTCCCAAACTTATCTAGATTACTGCCCGCTTTTCAAAAAAAAAAAAACCTAACTCTGAGGGGAGGAACGGTAGTGCAGAGAGTAGGGCATGCATATTGGGGTAGGCCTTGCATGCATATTGAACCCAGGTTCAATCCCCGGCATCCCATGTGGTCCCTTAAGCATCGCCAGGAATAATTCCTAAGTGCAGAGCCAGGAGTAACCCTTGTGCATCATTGGGTGTGATGCAAAAAGCAAAAAAAAAAATTAATAAATCCCTCTGTTCCCCCTAGAAAATTATTTTCTTTACACGAACAAACAGAAAACACCCTCCAAAAACTGCACCAAAGGTTACTATTGCCCCTGGATAGGGCCAGCACCTTCCATGGGTGGTATCACCCACTTTGGGAGGCTGACTTCTAGATGCTTGGAACAGGAATTTAAACATGATCACTATCAGATTACTGTCATTGTTCATCTATTTGCTCGAGTGAGCCCAGTAACGTCTCCATTGTGAGACTTGTTGTTACTGTTTTTGGCATATTGAATATGTCACGGGTAGCTTGCCAGGCTTTGCCGTGAGGGCTCGATACTCTTGATAGCTTGCCAGGCTCTCCGAGAGGGGTGGAGGAATCAAACCTGGGTCAGCCACGTGCATGGCAAACGCCCTACCTGCTGTGCTATCTCTCCAGCCCAAACAAGATATATGCAACTTATTTCATTATCATTTTTTAACGTAAGATCATGTCTATAAAGTAAGGCCTTATGGCACTGTATAATACATTATGAGATATTAGACTGTTTTAAAAATTACCGCACAGAAAAAAAAGGAAATACTGCTGTATTTCCAACAATACTCACCCATGCTATAATATCTTTTTAGTTCTGTTCGCCTGATTTCCTTTAGCTGACTTTTTTTCTTCTTTTTCTCATCAGCTATATATTCCTCTTCCACAGCAATGTTGCACTTGTCTTGTTCTAAAAGGGCTGCATTAGCATCTTCCTTCCCCATGTGAGTCTTTGTCGCTAACGCTGAGGCCATCTCTGCATTTTGCTTGGCTTGTTTTTTCTTTTTTAATCTAGGGAAAGGGTTAGAGGAAGGAAGACATTGGAGAAATTATTTGCCAGGAATTATATTAAATTGCATGCTGCTAGATTTTGAGAAACTACTACACAGAAAATATTTTGTATTATGAATGATATATTTTCCTGTATCTCTACTAGTCACTTAAAACTGTTTCTAATTGTGCCAGTGCCTTAATTTTTTTAGATTTATGTCTCTGAAAATTACTGAGAATTTCGCTTGACTGAAGAAGATCCATATTATTCTAGAAGTTATTAAATGCTAGGTAATTTTAATCACCACACACAACTGTCCTACTATATAATGCCATGTTTGGGACATTACACTTTAAAAAAAAAGTGTTTCTAGACTACCTCTGGCCTGGGAGACAAGCACATTTTTAAAAACATAACTGGCTCATATTTAAAGGTTTGGCAAGGTATGAACTGGTTCGGTATGAGAATACTTTCCCTTTATTTATACATAGTTCTTACTACTGAAGAAAGAGCTTCATTTTCTGAAATTTAGAATACCATGACTATAAATATATAACTTATGATGAAAAATAATTAACTGATACATTAGGTAATGTGTTTGATGTTTTTAGTTATTTATTCCTGAATAAAGATATGTGATATTTATCATAATTCACTAAAATTCAGTAATTAAGATATTTTTCCAATTGATGCATTACTCAAATTAACTAATGTGTCACTCTATACTCGCTAGTCTTTCTGAAGAATGGTTATTGGCCTAGAAAGAGAGTATAGAGTTAAGGTTCTTGCCCTGCATACAGCTGACTTGGGTTCAATACCTGGCTCCCATATAGCCCCCTGAGTCCACTAGGAGTAATCCCTGAGTACAGAGACAGGTGTAAGCCCTGTGTACTGCCCACTGTGGTCCCAAAACAAATAATCAAAAACTTAGAACCCTATACATCCAAGCACAGTCTGTACACATTTCAATTTCTTTTGTTCTCTTGAACATCTATATGATTTGATGCTGGACAATGTATAAGTAAATGTTTGGGGATAAATATGACAAAACTAATGAAATATATAAATATAATGACAACGACTGAGGTAATATATCAACATATAACACAAACAAGCAGAAAGTATTCCTTGATCACATCACCTACTAATCAGATAATGACATGAAAACTAAGAATGTAAAATCAGTGAGATAGCTTTTGAGATAAGTGTTCCCTATTCTAACAAAATATTTCACCTATGCTGGTGGTCACGGAGCACTGGGCAAATTCTTAAGATTTTCTTTTGCTGTCGTTGGTTGATAAGATGGTTGATGATTGTGTTTATATTTATGCTTTTAGGTATGTATTGTTACAGCACCACACCTACCACCACTGTCCACACATCTGTCTACCACAGTCTACAGATCCATTCTCACCCATCCTCTCTCTCCCTCATCCCCTCTGCCTACACCCCACCCCTTGTTGGCAACCCCAGTTCTATTTAAAGAATTTCAGAGTTTGTCTTCATTGGTCATTGCCTATTCCCTTGCTTTTGCTTCTGTATATACACGTTCAAGAGATCATCTGGTATTTGTTTTTAACATATTATTTCACTTAGGTATTAGATTTTTTTGTTGTTTGATAAATGAGTTTATGGTGCAAGATAAGGAGAATTGTTAATAGATGAACACATTCCTTCTCACCCAATGCTATTATCTTTTTCTGTTGGCCTGTTACAAAACCATAACAGCAAACAGAATTGGAGACTGTAACAAAGGAGTATTTAGTAAATATATTTTTACTTTCCATCTTCAGGTGTTCTGGTAGCAAAGAAGAGTAGATGTCCAAAAGGTATCCCCATCTAAGTATTCAGTGTAATACTACTTTAAAAATACCAAGACAGGTCAACAACCGGTCAACAACCTAAGTGCTTTTAAGCACATGACTGGATAAAGAATATGCTGCAGGTATGCACAACAGAATATCCTGAAACTGGAAAAAAAAAAAAGAAAGAAAGAAAAAGAAAAGAGAAAGAAAGAACTCTTGTCTTTTGCACAACATGAATGGCAGTTGAAATTCTGCTATATGAAATGTCAAGACGGAAGAGACAAATATCAGATAATTTTAAGCAACTGTGGAATGTTAAAAAAAAACCACAATAAACAGACAAAATCGGGGCAAATACTTGAGTTCTGACAGAAGAACTGAGGTTCTATGAAGCATGGTGTCAGGGGTGAAAGGTGGCAGCAAAAGATGTAAAATGTAAATGTTTTCATTTCATTGTCCCATGATAATTAAATGCATTCATATCTAGGGCATATAACTTTGCTGAACAGTGCCACTGTTTGGGGACATCTCCTTAGAGTGATTTTTACACACAGAAATGACAAAATGTACTGTAGCACCATAGCACTGTCCTCCCGTTGTTCATGGATTTGCTCGAGTGGGCCCAGTAACATCCCCATTGGAGACTTTGTTGTTACTGTGTTTGGCATATCGAATACGTCACGGGGAGCTTGCCAGGCTTTGCCGTACGGGCGAGATACTCTTAGTAGCTTGCCAGGCTCTCCAAGAGGGATGGAGGAATCGAACCCAGGTCGGCCACGTGGAAGGCAAACTACAATGACAAAATGACATTACACACAGAAATCACAAAAGGCACTACAATGACAAAAGGCAATACATTGTTTTATCGATCATCCCTTCTTACATAATGGCTGTCAACACAAACAAGCGACTAGAATTATTTCAGAAAAAAAGAATAGAAAATGATGATATAACACTTGTTTAACACAGACAGACTATGCTTTAATACCACAAATTCTATCCTTGACATAGATTACTTTGTTTTGACCACAGTTCCCATAAGAATTTGCTTCTCTGGCAGTTGTCAATATGACTGGCACGTTCTGATCTATAGCTAGAAATCTGATGTGAGTTCTAGAAACTCACTGTAAAATCCTCTCTTCAAAGAATGAAAATACTTTTATTAAAAGCACTTTCTCTAAGGGGGATAAATGCCAGTCTGATGTTTTTTGTGAATGCTCTTCAAACATTCCTATTTAGGGATTTTTAATCTTTTAGGCCTCCTTTGTTATTCAACCCTATATACTCTGATGAGCCATCTTTCACAACAGGGATTTAACAACAAATTATGCAAAACCGGAAACGAAAGGTCAAACAAGAGAATAAACTACCATTATTTCATTTCAGCATTTTGAAGGACTTCACTTGTACACTTATTTATACTGAGGATTCAATTATTCTTGGCAAATCATCTAAAATAGATGAGCGATTGAAACTTAGATATTTGACATTTAATTGCTAAAAATTCAAGTGAAAAAATAATACTTTTATTTGGTGATCGCACATTTATCTTTCCTTAAAATAATATTTTTAGGACTAGAGACAGTAGGTAGGGTGCTTTTGGTTCACAGAACCCCACAAATGTCCCTCAAGTACCACCAGAAGTGATCTCTGAGTGCAGAGCCAGAAGTAAGCCCTGAGCACTACTGGGTGTGGCCCCAAAGCTAATAATAATGTTTCATTCCCAAATTAACCTTTTTTCCTTTGGTCTCTCTTCCTGCTGAATTATTTCAGGCTTTTATCATCTCTCTGACTGGACTATTATTTGCAATATAATTTATTTTCCTATTGTGAAAATAATACATCTTCATACTACAACATTTTTGAAAAACGAACAAGTAAAAAAAAAATAACTTTTCCATGAGAGCCTAATACCAAGTAGCAATTACTGTTTGGGAAGATATTGTAAAAGAAGATAGTGATAATTACATATTCAGGCCTTCCCAAAGGCAGAAGAATGAGGCAGTGTGAGTCATGACTATGACCTCATCTGTACCTTCCCATCAATAAATATGAACGGACTATTCTGGAATCTTGTAGTTTTTGTTATTATTATTATTATTATTATTATTCTGCTTTCTGGGTCACACTCAGCGATACACAGGGGTTCCTCCTGGCTCTACACTCAGGAATTATTCTTGGTGGTGCTCAGGGGACCATATGGGATGCTGGGAATCGAACCCGGGTGAGCTGTGAGCAAAGTAAACGCCCTACCTGCTGTACTATCGCTACAACCCCAAATCTTGTAGGTTTTTTTAAACATTAAAATTTCCTTCACTTGTAAGATATGCATGCTTTACCTTTCCCTATTAGTACACTAACCCAGAGTTGGCAAAGGACTGTGATGATACCGCTACAGAAAGTATTTTAGTAGCTAATGAAACCGTTTCACCCTGAAGCATTTTCCTTTATTAAAGGAAAGAATACTGACAGCAGTCCAAGTTAGAGTCCTGACTAGTTAGTTCCTTTCTTTGTCTCTGCAGAAGTCTCTTCTGTTTCCTGCTGTCATCCAGGGCATGCAGTTCAAACAGGCATATGATTTGTGAAGAGACTTCCAGTAACTGAGCGAAAGCTTCATGAGGCCATGGATCTATCCAAAGTTTCTGCATGTGGTAGCATCAGGACCCACACATGTACATATTAACAAAACAAACATCCCTTTCCCCCACTCCCACTCCCAAGCAGGTTCAGGAGGCCCAAGGCCACTTCTGTAACACTTGGCTGAATGTGTGGGCCTGATGAATCAACGTTTGGGGCCACCAGGGTCGTATCTGGTGATGCCTGCTGGCCATGTGGTTCTGTGGATAGAATACTGCATGCACTCCGGCACTTTGTGCTCTCTCCCCAAGTCTCACTAAATATCTTTTTGGGATTTTAGGATACTCTGGAAGGTGCTCAGGGCTTATTCCTGGCACTACGCTGAGGGTTCACTCTGGAGGGACTCCAGTGACTATATGGGTGCCAGAGATAGTATGTGGATTGTCTTTACCAATAAAGATGCTTGACTGAGATCTCCAAGCAGCTCGGATTGGGGCTGGGCTTCCTCCACCCAGACCCCCAATTTTCTAGTAGCTTGGCAGTCACATCCACAAACTGCCCCCAGGACCATGTAATCGCATCAACAACCAAGATTCAGAGACTATATAACAAATACTACGTTGCTCCCAGAAGAAAGC